AGTATAGTGCAGGTGAAATCTCTGGACACAGACAGCGCCCTCAAAAGTGCAGGACCTGCACTATTGAGGGCAGTCCCGCTATAGTGCAGGTTGGGCACCGCGGTGCCCCGCAATAGTGCAGGCTGGACACACACACAAACGACAGTGAGAACGATGGAGTTGGAAGGAAGGAGGATGGCGGTGACACTCCAGAACNTCCATAGTGCATGTTGAATAGAGCAGGTGCCCAGTATAGTGCAGGTGAAATCTCTGGACACAGACAGCGCCCTCAAAAGTGCAGGACCTGCACTATTGAGGGCAGTCCCGCTATAGTGCAGGTTGGGCACCGCGGTGCCCCGCAATAGTGCAGGCTGGACACACACACAAACGACAGTGAGAACGATGGAGTTGGAAGGAAGGAGGATGGCGGTGACACTCCAGAACGAACTATATAGAGTGCAAGCTAGCAGCCTTCATCGACACCTACGTGCAAATCTTCTGTAGCTACCGTTTGTCTTTGATCCGGAAACAGCCTAGCCTCCCCTAAGCCGCCCCCTCATGGCGTCCCATTAGTGACATTTAGACTAGTCTAGAAGTGTTTTATATTTTTTCAATCGCATTAAGACTGACCATTGGTCAGCCGGTTAGCGAGGTCGATGCTAGTAAAAAACACACACGGATAAGACAGCGGACAGACACAACACAGAAACCAGGGTACACGTGCTGCTGCAGACCCGACAGCTCACGCAGCCTTGTGCGGACGGTGAACTGTGCCGCCATCAACAAGCAGAACGCCGCAAGCCCCTCATGGCCCCGTCTGCAAGGGAGGGTGTGGCGGGCGGCTCCACGGCAATTGCGGCAGCATGTTTGAGGACGACGAAAAGCACCGCATCTGCAGCAGGTGCGTCGACAAGGCTGGCAAGCGTAAAGCGACACCAGCTGAGGGTGCTGGGGCGGGACCATTCATCTGAACGCACGCCCGAAGAAAACAATGGCGGGGAGTAAGAAGGAACCTGGTTCTCGCGCGCGGCCGGATAACAACACGAAGCTTGAGATTCTTAAGTTGATGGATGCGCCAGGCAGACATGAGAGAATTTTTCGCGACGTAGTGAGGGCGGGGATACATACAGCTGTAGCAGTAGTGGTTGTTTGTTTTCTTGTAGTGCGGTTCCTGGCGTGTTGTTTTTTATCTTGCAACATCGAACAAGGGCGGCGAGGACTGAGATATAGCTTCGTTCACTAAGTATTGATGTTGAAGGATTGGTGCATGCGACAGCTCACGGTGTGCAGTAGTACGAGTGCTGAGGCAGGAAGAAAGTAACGATTCAACTTGCAAGTAATTTTTTAACATTCTGTGCGTGCGAAAGGGGGGAACCACACGGGTCGCGGGACAGCCTGCCCACACCCACGCTAGAACTGGGCCCAGCACTACTGCTGTAATTCGATCCATTTCGTACTCTGTTAGCCCCGCGACGCATGAGCACTAAACCATGAAATCAAGCATCTCCTCAATAGTGCCGGACCTGCACTATTGAGGGACATTCAAAGCCTCAATAGCGCCGAACTTGCACTATTGACGCACTATTCTGAATAGTGCAGGTGCCCGCTATAGTGCAGGTAACATTTCCGGACACACTCCTGCACTATAGAGGGCCCAGGACTGTACTCCACACGATGGACTCATCCCAACGCACACACCCACGGAAGACAGCGTTATGTCGCGCACTCGGTGCCTGCTGTCCACAGCAGTACCACCAGGTTGAAGCGTTCGTGCCATGTAAGGGTTGCCGGCAGTGGGCAGTGCCCTTGGCGTCGAGGAAAGCGCCTCCCAATGCGGACTTTCCTCACTATGTACTGCTGCAGGGAAGGGTGTGTTGCATTGTGAGGAAAATCGTTTGTTCGAGTGGAGCAACTTGGGTGGAGGTTCCCAAATGCAGCGGCCCGGCCATTTTTTGTCGCGAGGGTGCCCTCATGAAATCACGTGGGTTTTGGATTGAGGTGCCCTTAGGGGTTCCCCTACACCAATTGTGGGTTTAGCTTCCTATGCTACGATAGTGCACACCTGGTACCCGCGACAGTTCTTTCGGGACAGATCCGGAGGTTCCCTTGCGAGCAGCTTGTTACAATTGTTGGGGGGCGAAAACGAAAAAAGAAAAGAAAAAACACCCGACAAAGGTTAAGGTTTCTCCGATGATCAAAACCGACAAATTGCGTACTAGCGTATGTATGTCCTGCACTCGGAGGTTCTGTAACCCTGCTCCTTTTTGCGAAGTATTTCACGTTCTTCGTGGATGGCAGAAACCAGCAATGTAGCTTGTTGAAGTCTCGCATTGTCGGAAATCCTCCTTTTACTGACAAAGCGAGTCCCGCGACGAACTTTGCCCGGGCTCTTATGTTTCTTTGCCCCTCTCTCTTGCGCTCTACACGGGGCAGTGATTTACTGAATGGTTTTAGCTTGCCGACCCTCCCTATGTAGATGCAGCACAGCAGCATTCAATTATTTACATATTTCACCTCGGCAGGTCCATGTGTCCTTGTCACATGGAATGCGTATCAGTACCAGCTTGTATGGTAGGTGTTTCTACACGACTGCGGTCCACCTACAACACAGAACTGGTTCCACTTGTCTACGACCGCGTTTTTCCAATCGCTGTCGATTTGTGGTCCCTCCGACACTACATGGTCACCACGCAGCGGCAGTGGACTTATGAGATATGTCTCTTTCTCCAGCGAAAGGTGGAAGGTTGCCATATCTCTCCTTCCCAACAGCTCCGTCTGGTTGGCGGCCTCTTTCCAAGGCAAACCATCGCGAATGAACGTACAGTAGGGGGGGGGTGTACTCATAGTCGTGCATGCCGTAGTCGTTAGACCATTGACCTCGCATCCCTACAAAGCCGGGACGGAGCACGCCGGGTTCTCACCGGACCAGGCTCTCACATCACCAAGCGCGAAGCGCCGTGAGATATTCGGCGAGTCGCATGAAGGGTGCGCTGCATCCTGCTAAGGGTGTTCGGCATCTTGTGCTTACTTCCTTGCGTACGGATGACAGCTGCGTATGACTTTGTTCTGGTGTTTTCACTTCCAGAGACAGCAGTTGTAAGCACTGGGTAGCTGCCTCGAGGATGCGTGACCTTTTAAACACAACGTGGTTCGATCATCCCCCTTGCGCGGAGTGAGGAATCTCCACCCCGCACAACATGATCTACTGGACCACCATTATAGTTACCGCCAAAAACAAAACAGAGGTAAAAAAAAAAACGGTAACCTGGTTGCCGAGTTCACGAAGTGAATTGGCTTGTTTNACGTCGTTGCCAAGCGACGAACACCCAACCCCGATTGCAAACACCGGGAGCGGGGGGACAGTGGGGGGGGCGGTTTAGCAATTCTTAGGGTCACGACGAAATGTGGCCGCTATTCAGGGCAGGTCGCAAATTCGAACTACTTCGTAGCAGTTTTGCTGCCGGAGTGCGGCGGTGCCACGTGATTTTGTGGCCGCTAAGCAGGACATGTCGCGCTACAGGGGGTCGCTAAACCGGGACCCCCACTGTAGTGAAGATCATCTCCACAACAACATCAACGACGGACCGGCCCATCAATCAACCCGCCCCCCGTCGCCCCCCCCGGTGTTTGCCATCGGGGTTGGGTTTTCGTCGCTTGGCAA